CCAACACATAAAGATCGTCGTTCATTATAACGGCTTGCTTTTTAGAGGAGAAAATGACACAAGAAGCACAAGTGGTGAGCATGAAATATCAAATGTTTTCAACTCGGAAAACAAAAGATACAATCTAACTGAATCACATACCTCCTCTGAATTGATATATGCTACGGGAATGAATTTCTTCCCATCAAGTGCTTTTTCAACATAACAACTTTTTATAGCAGACACGGAAGCACTTCGGCAGGACTTGTTAGGAAGAAATCCATGTTGACACCAGACCATGAGGCGATTTGAAATGAGATTTTCTCAACGTGACGATTCTCCCTTCAAGAAGAGCGTCATAGCCCTCAAGTTGGGTATCAGTTTTAGGCCTTCTTTATGATCAGGTTTCACCCATCCAGGGGGTTGAATCTCTGGAACGTCTCTTTCATAAAAAATTCTGTAATTCTGTGGCTTTAAGTTAGGTAGAAAAGTTGAACGCAAGGGTTCCTGCTAGTCGATTGGCTAGCATAGCCAATCGACTAGCAGGGGAGAAAAGTGGACTGGTTGGCAACGAATCGACCAGACAGCTTGGTTGGTTCGGAGAATGCGGAACGGAACGTCTTGGTCAGAAGCTTTGGTAGGCCTACCGATTTTGGATTCCAAGAATTCTAATTTTTTTGAAAAGTTTTAAAGTGCTCTAGACTAGCAATGATTCTCACATGGTTCTCACATGTGGTGTTTCTCACCCATTGACGAGGAACGAGGATGTGGAAACATGGACTTGACCCTTCTTGAAACCGCCAGCCTCGCCACACTACCTGCAAAACTTGCGCCACTCTCGGACTTGAACCCTGGATGACAGGACTCAAAGCCGGGTTTTTGCCAGTGCACCAGGGATCACTCGATCACAGCATCGGAAGAGGTCTTGACAACAGGTAAGCAACGGATGTTGTTTGCAAATCTTAGACTCCAAGCGGTGTAGATCCAGCAACCTTGCCAGCGGCAGCGTGGAACGTTCCTATTGAGCCATTGGTAATTTGCCATAGTGGAAGTGGTGAGCCCCACGTTGCCTGCAAACCTTGCGTCACACACGGGTTCAAACTTTCGGTGCACCGTCCCATGAGCGGCATCGTTACCACTGCACTAAGGAGCCCTTCTTATCGGCGGTGAAAGGGTTGTAGAGAAAAGGAATAGCCTCCGAAGGTTGCAAACCTTTAGACTTATCGTAGTATTGATCCCGCGACTGATCCAACACCGTGGACCGCAGGCGCTACACCACTGACGAATCAATGCAAGGTGCTTCCCTTTCCCTTTCCAACACCGTGCTTTGACCCACGCACCTGGCAGTTTGAAGTTGGCCAACTCCAAAAAGTCCTCCGAAGGACTTTTTGCTGCGCGTAACGGGCGTCACCTGCGTCTCTCCAAACACATTGTATTTCGCCCCTCCGCGTCCCGTTTTCTGTCAGCGAGCCCTTCCTGCGCGTTTTACGGCTGCGCGTAACAAGGAACCACCCTGCCAGGGAGCTGCAGCTCACCTGGGAAGCTTTCTTCAGAGTTTCATAAATAGGTCTCCTAGGTGCCATAGAAGCGATTTCCACCATCATCGGAAAAACTTGCACCTCCACGTTACGTGCTCATTAAAGCTGCCCGTTAACGTGCAAGTTTGGCTAGTTTACTACCGTAACTGGTTTTTTCAATGATTGTTTCTCACTAAAATCTAATTTCATCATAAATCTTGAAGGTTAACTCTAGTAATCGCAGGTAAAGCTTTTAGGTAGGGAAAGGTGGAGAGCGCTCCAGTGGACGATTCCTCAAAGATCAGCATAGAGCTGAATAAGTAGCATGCAAAACGAAAAGCTCCCCTTTCCTGAGTCGCTTTCATGCTCCAAGTTTTATTAGGCGCGTTTTTTGCTAAAGTGCCAAGCAAGATTCCATGCTCCAGAAGACCTGAGAATTGATTTGTATGGGACATTACTTTATGTTTGGACCGTTTCTATGCACTGTATCACGAATTCCTTCTTTTTGACTACCTGCTCGCTTTAACATTACAGTTGGAGGCGAAACTGGCTAGGCATGTCGCTGAAATGTAGACGCAAATCCCAGATGGTGCGTCTGTGAAAAAAAAACAAGCAACTTGGTCAAAAATCCGAGAGGCGACCCGAGCTTCTCCCCGCCAATTCTGAATTCGGACGAGTTAATCACGCCCCTTGATGCCTAGGCTCCTTTCATACTTTGCGCCGGTGTGATACGTGCGGTCCGTGCGGACGGTGCGGAGAGAGTGAAGAGCGTCATGCACTAGTGCGCGTGTACGGCGTCAACACGGGCACTAGCGCGCGTACATGGAATTGGTGCAGGGTCAACCCTACGTTGTTACTATTAGGTCGGTCCATAAGTCTTGCAACAAACTGGCCGAATTTTGAATTTAATATTTTCATTATCTTTTTGTTCCATTCATCCAGCATGCTACCCACCATCAATATCTACAACCTATTGCCAACACACTAGTAGCTGCTCGATGCCTCCCTTGTAGGACTCTACTGAATTCTGATCGAAGAAAGATCAGATGTCGATTTTGACATCATCATAGTTAGGATGAGCTTTCTTCTCTAGGAGATGGTTTGGAGAGGGGAGCAGAAGGGCATTATTTGGCACGAGGTCAGGGCTATAACGTGGATACGGAAGAACTCTCCGTCCCAGAGTCTCGAAATTTTCCTGAATTTTCTTAGCAAGAGGTGGTTCAACGGTGTCATACAAAAGCAAACTTTGCCTTGTTTTTCTTTCGTATTAAAAGCGTTGCATTCGAGCTGTGGATAGTTGACTTTCGCGTTGACTGCGACATCTACACGGAGGGGTTTCCAGAGCTTAACTCCTCCGTTCCACCAAAAATCCGAGAAGGCCCTACTTGGACGAGGTTGAACTTAGCAATAAGATCTCCCGAAGCGTTTGAGCTGGACTACCGCCGCTTGTTCATTTGTTAGCAAACTGTACCCACTCCTCATCTTCGGCAAATGTGATGGATGGTCAATCGTAGAATCCCTAGTAAGTCGACTTGAACATAACGGTGTCAGATCGTGTTTGGAGCTGAATCGGGCTCAAGGCACGTGGGGACCAAACTCTACATTTTCGGATCTTCACAAGTCTTTGGAGATGCCACAGTGCTGTCTCCTTGTCGCATCGGAATCGCTCTAGCAAATGATCGATACTCTATCCAGATCCCTTTTCAACGCCGTCAGATAGAGCATCGTGATTGTCAGTCACAGGGTGGTTGGAGTGTGGGTTATTTTCAAATAAAAAAAGTCAACGCTGAGCAGAGTGAAGCGCCGTTGCACTGTGGTTTGAGAGAGCTGCCCTCGCCTATCTTCTGGCCAATCCTTGGTCTAGCATGACTTGCGGAACATTCCAAGCAGTACTCGTAAAAATTAAGGGCACGAGAGCCCTCTCGCGAAATCGGTGTAATATCCATAATAGGTAAGCAGAAACAAGCGGGACACTTTGCTGAATGCAAAAGTGAATGCTACCTAGGTAAATATGCTTGCCGGTTTTTGCAGTAGTTCTCCCTAAAATTCTATAGCATTAAATGTGGTTTGTTGCAAGACTTATGGACCGACCTAATAGTAACAACGGGGGTCGTACCTGGTTGAGTTTATAGGAGGGGGGGTCGTATCCGCTTCAGTCGCGTGAAAGTACATGTGAGTTTGTGGTGAAAGTGGAGTTTTCACGAGTAGTAGGCTAGGTGAGTTGGGAGCGCATGGGAGAAAAATTCGCCGTTTCAGCGTGCGTATACCCCCCCCCCCCCCCCCCTTAGGAAAATGAAGCAGTGGGATTATAGGTAGAAGTGGGGTAAATTGATTGAAATTTCTGTTTCATAGTGGGTATATACCCCCCGCTCGAGAGCCACTTTTTGGAGGAAAAGTGGGCGGAGTTTGGTGGGTTGAGTGGTACCAGAATTAAATACTATAGAGAGGAATATGGTGGTCGAGGGTCGAAAAGGGGGTCGTACCAAGTCCACCTTGGGGGAGGGGGGTCGTAAAAATTTTTGAAAAAGTAACAACGATAGGACTGACCCTGAATCGGCGGCTCCCAATCGGCAATCTCATTTTCGATGCATCCTTTCTATTTCTTGATGTTTTGCGTGCTGTCTTGCTTTCTTTCGTATTTATTTTTGCACCAAGCTTTCCTTTTTGTATGAAATAGTGTCCATGCTCACTGATGGCCTCACCTGGGGCTTAGCGCCCGGACAAGTGCACAATGCTACCCTTCCAGAGACAACTGAAAAATATTGATTAGGACAAAAAGAAGTCCAGGCTAAAAAAACACGAATGAAAGCAAGACGGCACACAAAGCATCAAAAAAAAAGGAGGAAAACATATGGAGGCTGTATCGATCGAAGGCTACCGACTATACGCCAGGTACGCGTCATGCGCCAGTGCGCGTATTGACGCCCTTTACTCTCTTCGCACCGTCCGTGCCGTCCGCAGGGTGGCACCGACTGCACCGGCGCAAATATGAAAGCAGCCTTAGGTGACGCTCCAACACCTTCTCTTTAGTAATCATTCTATTAGTAGTTATTTCACTTGTTATCGTTATTATATTATGTACTCGAACAGCGGAAATAAATAATCCATACGTGGAAGCGGAAGCTGGAATTGCAAGTATTTCAAGGTGAGGCGGCTCGATGCGGAAGGTTCTCGCGAGAGAAGGTCACGCAGCAAGTCCGTGTACGATATTCTGTACTCCGTTGGGCTTGCACCTTATAACTTTGTTGACTGGGCGTTTTTCATTGCAAAAGCGTCACGTATCCTCTACTTGGTTGCTCCTCTACCCTCTCCACTGCCCATCTTTCTTTTTCATGAATATGATCTTATCGTTTTATTTTTGAATCCTCGATGGGCTCGATCTGGCAATGAGAGAAGAGTACAGCAAAAAACAGCGAATTGAGATCTTTATTAATTTATACAGAATGCCTACGCTTCATATTGAGCAGGTAGACTGATGCAGCATCGGCTGTCGGTACCGGTCACTTACAGCTGTATGATGGAATAGTAACCCCAGTAGAAAACGCTGAAATGAAGAGTGGTAATTATGCTCTCTCGTCTGATCTTTCCATCTTTGCTATCTCTTACTTGAAAATCACGAAACAAATCGGAAAGACGGTCCGCGAATACTTATCAATCACGTTCACATCTCGGATTCGAACACGTGGCAGCGCTTTTCGAGCTCGTACGCCCATCCGATGCAGCGACACTGACATACTCTGCGCCCTCATCCTTGTCGAGCGAAGTCGTTGTCTCGTCCTAGAATAACCTGGATTGTTCAGGAGAGAAGCAGAACTCAAACATGTTCCCCGGACCACGTGGTAATCACCCCTAGAAATGCCATCTGACCTGGCTGCAAGTGAAAAAACGGAAGAGAAACCCCGAGAGCACCGAATTCGCGAGACGACCTTCCATTCAGACTCCTATATCCGAGAAGAAAAAATAGATGGGTGTGAGCAGAATTAGAATTCGAACAGGTTCAATAACCATTGCTGGTGGTCCCGAGAACTTCCTACTCATGTCTGTTTCTGAGCGGTCGAATCACTACTACTCTTAACTAATGGGTCAGCTAGTGGTGGGGAGCACACATCCAAGTTGACACAACCTACTCTACTGCGCGAGTGTGCTCTCTTTTGAGATTTAGCCAGTATGTGCCTTCACCGGACTAGCCCACGAAGCCTTACCCTTCACAATAGGTTCTTCTTTCATAAGTACATAGCGCACGCCAGATTACGGTAAGAAAATCAGATAAGGAGTAAAGGTGATCACAAGTGATTGAAAAAGACAGCTGAATGGACTCTCATAGGAATTCACCCCTTCAAAGTGTGAGTTCTGCGAAGTGAGGATTGTTTTTTCTCTCAGCAACGGCACACAGTTGTAAATGCCACAGAACCCCTCATCAGCTTCCTTATCAACTTCTAGGTTGACTGAGAGCTTTATGGCAGGGTGACGTTTCGACGTTTCGAGTAGAATATAAAGACGTGTAAAGTGAAGGCAGTTCACAACAGCCAAACCATCCTATTCACCTTCAGCTATAATGATCCTCCTATTCTGAATGCTTTTCATCATTAACATAAGCAATCTCTGACACGTGCACAAAAAAAGCCATTGAGTGAATTTCTTCAGGAATATAGCAGTCAAAAGGGAGACATGGGTGAAACTCCAGTTCGGGGGGGGGGGGGCTACGCCCATTGCTTATCTGTACCGTAGTCACTGGAGAGCAGCTCTTTTGGGCTGATCCACAGCACCGGTAAGATCATAAGGTGAGACGACTGCATTTTCGATTGTGATAAGGACCGGTGGATGTCCTACATTCCACACTACCTGCCCACATCCCATCCACTTTTCTGCACAGGTGATCCACCCTGGAGCTCCTGCACCCTTAGCCCTTTGCGGAGGTGTCCTTTCTCCTGGTCCAGGACCGTTCCCTTGGGTCATGGCAGGCGGAAATGTGAAAACGTTTCAGGGTTTCTCACCCATTACACCAATATTTATCAGAAGTCTACTTTAAATGAGTCGATTACGTGTCGTGAGCCCTCTAATCCTTATCTTGAGTATTGGAGAAAAAATGGAGTGGCCCCCCCGAACTGGAGTTTCACCGAACATGTGACGAAGGTTATAGGTGAATTTATTTCGTCACTCGTTCCTCCATTAGAGAACCTGATAAACTGATAAACTCAAAGAGTGGTGTAAGCGCTCAGTGGACGGTCTTAAATGTGCCACCTTCAGGAACGAACATGCAAATTCGTGAAGTGTACCATCTTCAATTTTTTATACAACTGAAGAAAATGAGTCCCTTGATCAGATGCGACCTTCCCGAATGGAGCCACCATTCACATTCGTTTACCGTCGTAAAAAAAATTCAATGCGTTATGGATTACAATTTTTAGACCTAGCCGACGTACAAGACAGCGTTTTTTTATCTCAAAGATTAGCCCAGTGCCTATTCGGTCCCTGGAATGGAAGGCTTGGTAGTTCGGCCGAAATTTATCCCACATTCAGCTTCGCGGAGAGTACGCGTGCACATATACGGTTCCTCATGCCACCAAGGTCGCCCCGCATTCCTCTACCGCAAAAAAAACCTCACCTGGCAGATAGGGATGGTCTAGCCCTCATTCCCTGAACGGTTGAGGCATATCGGGGATATTCTGGTGAGTCGTCACCGTCGTCGATGCCATTTGGTCCAGATGGGCAAAGGGACGGTATCGGACTTGACTGCCGCTTTTTTCTTGTGGCAGAAGAAAGAGGTACAGGAGCATCTCCACCAACACCGCTCGAATTCAAATCGTGTGTGCGTGGATCGGAAGTGGACTGCCTGAGTTCCTGAAATTGCTCAAATAGTAACTTATCATTACTAGTAGGCTGACGAAATATAAACGTACATTGATCAGACTGGTTGGTACGCCCCACTCCTTTATGTTGACAGCGCTTTCACGGTCGTCCTTATTAGCATTGCATACTGGCCACCTTAAAACTCTTGATTCACTATACCTGTCGTTGTAATTATGAGTAAGATATAAGGCCTCTAAAAAAAACCCCATACCCTTCTTCACCACCACCACGGATCGTACGTCCGCCAATACGAGTAGTTAAGAGCCGGCGTACTCCAGCAAAGCAGGCGTAATACGAGACCAAAAACGACAGATCACCTGAAGCGAATAAGTATGATTTGTTTCGTGGCATATTTGTAGTTACAATCTGAGGCTGGTAGAGCACTCAGGTGAGAGACGCGCGCGGCTGCGTTACGTTTGCTATCAAGTAGCAAGACGTGAATCAATTTTTAGTGCAGAGTACTACTTTTAAATCAGTTTCCTCTTAATTTACCTTCGCGAGACTTTAGTTTGCAGTAACTATTAATCGTCATCTGTTGTGCGCAAGCGCTTGCACTTGTAAACGTGTTATGAACTATCTGATAGCGGCTGTTGTCGTGGGCGGTTAGCACAACTTGTCCTGTTTTTTGACGTTTCGTGCGTAGCCACAACTTGTCCGGTTTATTGTGGGCAGCCGAGCTGGAGAATGTCTTTGGATATTTTTAGTTCTAAGTCATCTCGGAGCCGAATTATGAGGTCTTGTAGAAGACGTTATGAGTCATGAGTTTCTGGGGCAAACCCCGCCCACTTTGGTGCACACTTAGCCCACCAATAGCATTTAACCCCTTTCCCTACGGCAACCCTTATCCACTTTTTTCCCGGGCGCTGGGGCTTCTAGGAACCGAGTTATGAGAGCGGTGGCAAACTCCGCCCACATCCGGGTGTGCCACGCCCAGCGTTCACATTCAACCTCTACTCCTACTTTCACTCTATACACATTTTTTCAGGTCTCTAAGTCATCTCGGAGCCGAATTATGAGGTCTTGTAGAAGACGTTATGAGTCATGAATTTCTGGGGCAAACCCCGCCCACTTTGGTGCAAGCCTTAGCCCACCAATAGCATTTGACCCCTTTCCCTCCGGCAACACTCATCCACATTTTTTCCGGTCGCCTAGATTTCTAGTTACAGTCGATATCCGTAAGTTGGGGTAGGCGGGGCTATGGACGTAATTGCAGACTACACAAACTTGATAGTTGCCGCTTCGAACAGGTGTCTGTGTTTTTATGATTTCCCCATAATATTCGCGTTTCCTGTTGTATTCCCCTATTCTGTACTGATATTCTGCTCGGTCAGGTCCAATTCAGAAGAGGCAGGTTAGTTTAGAAGAAAATAATGCTCTTATCCATTTGAAATGCACGATTTTTGCATGTTTTGCATGGAGCGGTTATTACTGCTAGACCTCTTCCGAATTGGACCTGACCGAGGGCAGGAATTCAGTAGCAGAATAGGGGGAATACAACAGGAAACGCGATTATTGTGGGGAAATCATAAAAACACAGACACCTGTTCGAAGCAGCAACTATCAAGCTTGTGTAGTCTGCAATGACGTCCATAGCCCCGCCTACCCCAACTTACGGATATCGACTGTATTCGTTTTATGGGCCAAACCTTCAGGTCATAGTCAGCCCATTACTGATCGCGGGATGCTCACGGCTATACGGAGAAAGATCGTTTTGCTTGACTAAGTTAACAATTTTGGGCACGTTGCCCAACGATTACATATTTACTTTCCAGAACTTTATAATTTACATTACTCTTATGCAATTTATAGACATATTAATTAATATACTCATGAAAATAAATATTCATAAAAAAAAGAAGTGGGGATAAACGAGGCGGCGACCGCAATAAGTTAAAAAGTGCATAACAGGTGTCATTTTACGAGAAGTGATCAGAAGTTTGCCACGCGTGCGCGTCGCCGCTGTCGCTCGTCGTCGCTACGATATGGATGGGACCGCTCTCTCAATCTGCTTCGATTTAATTGTCTGCATTTACAGACTTTACGCTAACTTACGTAGTTGCTTAGTTCTTTGTTACCACGTTGACAACATTGCGATCCGGTGGCAGGTTGAACTTAGCACGCCTCCTCGTGGGACGGTGCGACTCGCTAGTGAGTCGCGCCTGGCACCAGATATTTTTGCGCGTGCGCACCTTCTTTTCATTCTTTTAATTCTATAATTTTCAATTCTACAAGTCTATAATTTTAAATCCTATAATTTTATAATATTGCTTCAAGTTGACCACAAAAAGATGTCCGCAGAATGGTTGAAAATACGGTATTTTAATTTAGTACAAGTTTCTTGACCCTTGCAAAATATTCAGCTTGTTCCACCTCCTGTTTCGCTTTTATTTCACAAACTTCGAAATAGAAAAGGAATAGTATGCTCAGAACCAGAACTACTCGTTATTATACCTTTCGATGACTCCAATGCATCGAACTAAAACGATTGAGTCTTCCTTATTCCGTGTATTCACCACCAACAATCTCAGGTGAGGCGACCGCTCTCGCCTAATCGGGACAAAGCCAAAACATGCGCTGTCGTCAGGATGCTGAAGAAACAACGCAGAAATCGGTCTACGATTTTTCAAGACGCGGCGCTTCCTCGCGCACAGAATGGGTCGTTTGTCTTGTACGCAAAGTTCGGTGTAAACCTACCAGATACACATCGATGCTTTTCACATAACTGATTCGAGGCAGTGACTGGCGTACACCTGTAGAGATCGTTGTCATAGTGAGCACAGTGGTGATGCCTAAAGTTTAGGTTTTGAAACAAAGAATTCTAAAAGGCGTTAAAGGCATGGAAACGTACCCAGTGCCACACGGGCACTGGTTGCCTCGTGATTGATCCAGAAAGAGACCCATGAGAGCATTACGATCAAAACACAAGGTAGATATGTTTGAAAGATGAAATAGCCAACAGAACGTTGTAGTTGGAACACTAGCGACAGCCGCTGATAAGATCCTGAAAATCACTCTTGAAAGTGGAGTACCTTCTGAAACGCCGAGATGATCAAACACCTGGAATCAGGATCACCATGAGGAATTTCCCAGCAAAAGGGTCGTATTTGTGGTATTGGACGGCGAAATCATGTTTGGGGTTTTCAGAAAGGATCACGGTGATAGAAGTTGAAGTGGTCGCATTTAAGCCGATGTCAGACTGTATCTATCTAAGTATTCTAAGTAAGTAAGTCAGACTTTGCGAATCGCGCGATTCGCTAGCGTCTGCGGTCGCGTCGCGGCCAGTGAATCACTCAATTGGCTGGTACCGCAACGCGACCGCGGACGCTAGCGAATCGCGCGAATCGCTAGTAGCGAATCGCGCGATTCGCAAAGTCTGACATCGGCCTAAGAATTGAAGAAGAGAGGGATTGTTATCGTAAAGAGCGCTGGAAGAAACGAATTTATGAAAAATTTGCTGTATTATGAGGCGTATATTTTGTACTCTCATTCCTAGGAGTGAGGGATAAGAACGAGGACTTTTTTATTCAACTGAGGGGCAGGGGAACAATTTCCTCGTAGTCATACAGGACGGTCACGGTTACAATTTCATTGAATAGCCGGCTTGCAGCGCAAATGCTCCGCTATTTGAATAGTATGTCTTGGTACCGAAAAACCCACTTATGAGTAACTGTGGCCAGCGAGGTTTGCCTAGGCCCTGACCCTTAAAGCTACAATTCCGGATCGAATTCGCGGTATAAAAACGTCGATAATGAAATTGTAAATGGCAAGTTGCTTGCCAATGGAAAAAAGCAAAGAAAACCACCGATTGAACTTTTGAACAGAAGTTCCCCTCTTACGCTTCGAAATGAGGAATGGGCGTGTCGGAAACCCCGCGGTAAGCTGCCTGCGCGAACTAGCCTGCTCTGCCGGCATTTCTTGCTGGCTCGTATGAGCAAGAAATGCGGCTCCAAATCGTGTATGCACGAACACAAGCAGAGACACATACATCATTACAAGCAAAGAAATGCGATAATTAAATAAGTTGGGCAAGTGAAAACCAACAAAAAAGAGGCAGCATTAATTTTGAAACGCGGTACAGTTGCACGCAATCACGCAAGGACCATCTCGAAAGACGCGATCTTCGAAGTGAGCGTTACGATGGACTTGCCGCCACGCTCACTTCGAAGGCGTTCAACCCTTTGACGTTGCTTCGAATGCTCACTTCAGCATGGGAGGAAATTAGTATTCAAAAAGGAAATTCTAGTCGATTGGTGGTCCTCTAGTGAAGAAAAAAACAAAAAAACCTGCAGAAAACACCAAAATTAAGGCCATTTTCTACCGATATCGTGATTGGGTCGTTTTTTGTCTGAAGGCAGCAACCACGAGATGGATTGACTTGTCTGAAGTGGAAAAGGTTCCTCCTACATAAATGGTGCACCAGCGATGAAAATGGGCGAGAAGTAAGTCGAAAACACGCGAATGGGACCCCTCCAGCTTATTTTTGACCATGGACAAGTCCATCAATACGGCAGAGGTCGTATTACCCTCGAGGGTCGACTTCATCCCAAATTCATCATGCTTGAATAAAGGCAACAATCCCAGAAAGAGTTCGCTTGGTGAAAACCGTTGATAATGGAGCTGTAGGTGAAAAGTTGATCGGTAGTGAAGAAAAAACCAAAGAAACGTCGGAACAGGGCTTACCACACAGGGACTTCCCCCTCATACCCTTCAGAGCGCCCCGGCTGCCCGACCACCTCCGATCCGCACACCTCCCACCATCCCGATCCGTTTCCCCCTTTCAAACGGCTTCGCAAGGTGAGTTTTTGTTCGAGTTCCACGTCGTACGTGTTTAACACGTTGACGACCGCGCTCATTTTCGCTGTCTGGCGTGTGGGACCGCGCGCATTATTTTGACCGCGCGAATGTGACATGACATCATGTCACACGGTCCCACGAGAACACCTTTTTGGGAACTGTTTATTTGTTATCTTTCTTGTGTGGTAGGTCTCGATTTTGCGATTTTGGCCATTTCAGCTATTCCTGCGATTTGAGAGTGCGTAGAAAGGGCCAAGCTAACGTGCGATTAAGAGGTACCCCTCCTAGAAACACTTCTGGTCCCTGTATCTCGAGCTTATAATATGATCGTTGGCTTGCTATCGAACCCACATGTCGAAAACACTCACAGACTCGATTTCGTTTGCGGGAAAGGAGGAACGGCGGCAAAGGAAAACGTCCACATACAACGCAGAAGCGGCTACAACTAGGCAGGATCAAAGGACGCGCATATGTCTCCGACCAAGTGTCCTCACCACTGTAGCAAATTGTTATTGCAAACATTTTTTGTACCGATCAATTTCAGCCTAAGCACAAAAAGTGCGACTACTGATCATTATTCAAACATTTTTTGAAAAACTCGATAGCCTTGACCTATGCTTCTTTCCAGGTACCACGTCTTTTGTAACAATGCCCAAGCATGGCGGTCACATGAATAAGTTACCTAAAATGTTCAAAAACCAGCTTTGAAAAGACTGTGACATGACATCATGTCACACGGTCGTCAACGTGTTACCTAGCGCTAGTCCTTCTCCCCATTCAAATAAGACAGCGATCCAAATAAACCCAATGCAATATCGTTCGTCAAAGAGATGCACTCATGTCGTTGTGATAGCGCAAAGCATAGAGACGCTGCGTTGCATTTCTCCAGCGGATAAAGGAATCTTCCGCGGAAAAAGCTCCGCCTCCATTACCACAGAAAAACGATACCCCTTAGGCCCCTAGCCTCATGAGCATAGCAAAAAGAACGGAACATAAGCGTTAGTTTCGATAATACTAATCCTACACACAAGACAAAATGATCACTCTTTCCGTGGAAGATTCCTTTAAGGTATCGTTTTCTGTGGTAATGAGGGGAGCTTCCGTGGAGATTACTTTTTAAAGGCATGCCCCAGGATCGCACTGGTGTGGCTCTTGCACACGAATGTGAATGTATCGGTGCCAAGTGGGCCGGCAGTGAAGAAAAAAGGAAAAGAATCCGTCGAAAACGCTCAGGTTGAGGGCTCACTCACCTTCCTAATTGGCTGTGCTAAAGGAACGAGAGACTAAGCGCGAAGAGGAGAGTATGGCGAGAGAGCGCATCAGATGAGAGAGCACCAGACAACGGCCTGATAAGAGAGCTCGTTCGCTGCAGCTCGAGCAGCTTACTTTGCAAGCCCAAAGCGTTCTTGTCGGTCGAATTCCGTGCACGTGAACGCCACATTTGTGATTGTCCCCTAGGGTTCTATACTTCTGACCGAAGAGAAGAGTTCACACGACCTCTGCCTGGGTTGTGCCTTTAAGGTTGTTGTGGCGGTTCATTGGATACTATCTACACTTATAGTTCATTTTCGAATCAGCAATTTAGTAATCAAATCAGGAACCTCTCTGGCCAAACAACCTTTGTTTAAGTCGCAACGGATAGATTCTATCTCGCATGCTTCTTTGGCTTCCTTTTTGGACATTATTCCCCTTAGCGTAGAATTTGTTCGCATTTGTACTTACACCTGACTTTTGAGAACCACTTGTTACTTGAATTGTAACGTCATAACCCGCACCGCTTCATAAAAACCACAATATCACAAAATGGCACCAGAAATGAACCACTCGATGGTGCTCTTACCTGTAGCCGTGCTCACCACACGGTCTTCGGTCTGGTAACCGGTAATGGTAAATTGCGGTACATCCGCTTCTTCAACGCCATGAACGGCTTGTGGCTGATTCCATAACATCAGCACTTCAGACGTGGTGTAGCCATCTACAAACAGAGCGATAAATCTGTTAGATACCTCTATTTATCGTAGTCAGTCCAGCGAACAATGTGTAGGAAGCTGACGCGCACAGTGGCGAAGCGGCTTACTGAGCGAGAGTTATCATAATGGTAGAGTTACTATAATATCTAGCGCTAGGACTATGGGATACAAAGATGATAGTATTAATAAGTACAAAGAAATAAAGGAAGCACTGCAAGCACAAGTCCTCTGAAAATGGAAAATGTCACATAATAGGCCCACTATGCCTGCTGAGAACTGTTCAAAGATTCCACTTGATATACAGAGGATGGGATATTGAGAGCAGAGGGAACACGTAAAGCTAGTAAGCGCTTGAAAACGAAATGAAGATCTAAGAATTCGGAAAATAACATTCATCTAATCTCACAATGTAGTGGATGAGATTGAGTACGTGGCGCATTCTGGGGTAAGTTTTGAGGCCCTTCTTTGTGTGTAGCGGTTAGCCCGCATAAGCGGGATTATATACACATCACATGCGAGCAACTACTTTTTGAGATGAAATCGAGTGCATGGCGCATTCCGAAATCAAGCTTTCTGAAAAAATTTTAGCACCATCTTGTAGCGCTTGAAGAGCTGAGTTCAACGGTGTTTTCCGTTTCTGGAATACTTCACTCTGACCCGACTTATAACGAATTCACGAAATTAACGAGGATTCGCGTTATTCGCGTGAATTTTCGATTTCAAACGGCGAGTACTGTATATATTATTCCGCCTAATGCATAACATGAATTTACATCAGAACTCATAGATGGGTGTCGAAACTGTGCTTGTGTCCTCACATTTAGCGTTAATGCTCTAGTTTCGCCTGGAACGATTTGATTTCCTCTGGGACCTCAGTACAGCTAATTCTTGTGTTTACGTCAATTTGGTACTATTTTCGGTCAATTACTCACGAAATAAGGTTGTCTAGGATGTACTTGTAAGAAAAAAGGTCGACAAGCCCTCCACATTGAGAGCAGAACCTAAATCTCTTGGGCCCAAAATCGGAAGCTCTGATATGGGGCAACTGTTCTTCTCGTATGCACCGCTTTGACACCTTTTAAAAATGGGGGAGGTAGGGGGCAAGAGGAGTTCGCAACGGGTCAACACATAATCTAACCCTGGCGAGCAACCTTTGAGAAGTATATTTTTATCTTTCAAATCTATCCTAAATGGCTGTAGTTGATGTCGAGTCCTCCTTTTGCAGGCAAATTTCGTAATAGAAACTGACCATTCCATTCAGATTCTCATGGAACAGTCAAAACAACTACTTGAACCTCAGAGCAACGTTCCTGGTGCATTCTGAAGTTTCACAATAATGCTGGTGTACCACCTTACCGGGCAATGCGTTGCAAGTTACGCTACCGGGGCACCACTAATCAAAAACAAGTCAAAATCGGAACTCTGAAATTTCTCAACGGACTAAAGCTCTACATCAACTGCGCGAGCTTTTGCGAAATGGTCAACTTTTGTAAAGGACTGGAGCTCCTGATACTACGCTGCTGCTTGTCGTGTGGAAGGCCACTTTCCCGTCTCTCCCTTGTGGCTTTATTTCGCCAACCCAAATTTACTGACGAGCTCCCAAAATTGACGAAATAATTTGTGGCTTTATTTCGCCAACCCAAACTTACTGACGAGCTCCCAAAATTGACGAAATAATAAGGCCTTTCTGAGGAAATAGCGAAACGAGCCGTTTTAGTGGTTTTATGAAGGTTTTCTCCCCCTCAGTTTACAACCATGTGCCTTAGCGATCGATAAATTGCACAGTCTAATTAAGTTAATTATTTAAGTATTCAATCACAGCTGAATGGTTTAAAGCGAGAAATTACGATAAAATTTCTGTGCAGCATGGAAGAACGAGCAGCACTTCAAGCAGTAGCTAGAGCCCAAAGGAATCGAGATGTGGCCTTTTTGTGACTAAAGGTGCGCTCGTTGCAGCGCCCTGGGGCTGCCAATCCTTTCTGAGCTCCGCCTCCGCCTGTGCTCCGCCCCTCAGCAGATCGCTGTTCGATTATCATTCTGATAAGGTATGCCACTTCGAGCGCGTATCCAATTTTTTTCTCATGGAATGCTATATCAATCAAGGTATGATCTCTGGTGGTATGATGGCAGCTATGGTTTAACGAGTGCCGACGACCTCTTAGTTGGTTGCCAACTCGTCCATTATCGGAGGTCAACGGGCAGAGGAAGTGGTCCCATTTTGCGCGTTTTTGACGGATTTCTTTGCTTTTTTCGCTACTAGGGCATTATTCAGCATCTTCACTTCCACTATGAGCACAACAGAATCCTATCGCAATCTCTCGCTTTAAGGATGCCTTACTTCTCACGATGGACATCATCATCGCTTCATTCGATTCGATATCGGAAGTCAACATGGTAAGCACTTTACATGTTTTTGAATGATGTAATCATTTGTCGAATTTTGTATGAAACAAGGAAATTTCAAGGACTACACGATCACAATGTACTTGCACCAATACTGGACAGATGAGCGCCTTTCATGGGGTACTTCAGGGCCGATCGAAGAGATGACTCTGAGTGGAGAGTTCTCCCAGTAAGTATTACTTGCAGGTCTGAATAAACAAACAAAAATAAACAAAAAATATTCTGAACCATGAAACATCTACTGCTCTGGGCATTGGTCCTGAAAGAGTCAGTGAACTTCTTGAGATTTTCTTGGTCTTTGCTGACACTCCGGTATACATCTTTCACCACATTTAGGCCTAAACTGTGGAGGACACTGTTCCTGATTAGTTTTCGAAAAAGAAGCGGTTTTCAAGTTTCCTCGTAAAAATCCAATTAAAATCATCTTTTGTGATATTCAGCATTAGGCTGAAGTTTTATAAAAATCGGCGAGAGGTGCAATTGGTAGGAGCGGTGTTCGCAGTTGCAAGCTCTTTGGATCGAACCTCATCCAATCCTTATACTTTTTTGGAACTGGATTAGCTGACGCTAAACTTGTAGAGCAGGACATTCTGACCCAGCGATTTCTTACGATATTACGAACGGATATTCAGTACATGGATTTAGTGCGTGGCACTTTAATTGATTTAGCGACCTAGAGAGCCTGATTAACGCCAAACACATTGTGCTTCTTCGGCAGGGGACCCTTACCGCTAGGGGTCTTTGTCTGAGGAAATGGAGGGAATTGGTGTCCTTCCTGAGGGGGTACCCCCCAGGAGGCCCGTCGCGCGGCAAGAAGGCAGAGTCGGCGGACGAGTTGCAGCGCGTGGTGTGCGATGTAGGACGTGCAGTGGGACACTCTATTAACTTGACGCGAAATCCCTATAGTACGCGCGCGACTCGTCCGCTGACTTTGCCTTCTTGCCGCGCGACGGGCCTCCTGGGGGGTACCCCTTCCTGAGAACTGATAAATACTCACAAAAATATGTAGTTAGAAAAAGAAGCGGGAGTTAATTTTCAGGAATATTTGGGTACCGGACACATTCCTGGCCAACGACAAGCAGTCATTCCTTCATGAAGTCACCGAACGCAACAAAATGCTGCGGATCAGTGGCGATGGCAAGATCGCCTACGGTATGAGGTAAGAGATCTCACTTCTGAATCGGTTTGGACCATAAAGTAAATTCCACCGTCATTTCTGTCCATATACGTGTCGATGCACTTTTTATGTGTTGAAACAAGCTGCTTTGAGGCTGACGTCAACGCTTAGCTGTTCGATGAACCTACGCAATTTCCCACTAGATTCGCAAAATTGTACGGTAGAAATCGAGTCATGTGAGTGAACACTACGTTTCTGACGAAGCCCTTATCTTTTTCAACTATATGCGCGTGGTAGGGCAACGACGCAAGCGGTCGCGAAGCGGTCATCTATCCCATCACTGTCGCACAATGTGGATACCAGACGCTAACTTGTGCTTGCAGTGCTTTCTTTATTTCTTTGTACTTATTAATACTATCATCTTTTTATCCCATGGTCCTAGCGCTAGATATTATAGTAACTCTACCATTATGATAATTGACGCTTAGCAAACCGCTTACGCGTCAGCTTCCTACAC